AAACTTAATACTATATCTCCCTAAAATAACATAAAACTATATAAAAATTTTAGCACATGTTATTAAGTGAATATTTCAATTAGAGCTACTTAACAAATTGCTTATTCACACTTTTTAAACGTTACTTCTGGTAATTGTTATCCAATAATGATTCAAATTCCATAAAAATTGTTATTTTTATTTATTATATTAAAATAAAGTTATGTGAGAGGTTTGCTAGGAAAATGGGCTCTGATCATTTTTTATTATAATTTTAATTTTATTGCATTTTAATTTAATATTATTAAAAATTAAAATGCAATAAAAATTAAAATTTTAATAAAAAATGCTAAGAGCCCCATTTTCCTAGCAAACCTCCTATATACTAAATTTTAAGTATATTATTATGTAAGTTTTTTAATCGAAATTAATTATTTAAATATGTGATAAAAATGAAATTGTGATAATTGAAGTAAACTGACTATCTGACTTTCGATCAGCAGGGTGGACTAATGTTTTAAGTGAAACTAGTTTCGCCTAATTTGATCTACAAAGTGTTCACAAATTAAGGTTTCAGATAGTTTTGAATATATAAGACTAAACTAAAAGTTCACTATGCGAAAAGTTTCAGAATTGAGAAAATGGTTTTGCTCGAAACACTAGGATGAAAATACTTATATTACTATATCAATCATTTTGTCAATTATATTTTGTATTACATATTGGTGTTTGCAAATTTCAAAGCTTTAGGTTCCTTTAAAATGTATTCAAATTCGTCATATTAACTATTATATTTAATAGTTTATATTAACAAGAGTTTAGTATAAATATTATATAATATTAAATATGAAATACAAAAAATGATATTATATCAAAATTTTCAATAATTTAATTAATATCAATCATATCAATCCTTAAGCTAATCGAACTTTGAAAATTTGGGTGAAATCACAGTCAGGCAAAACTTAAAATTTTTAGAATATATTCTTTAACTAATAGTACTAGTTTTGACAAATTCTGGAGTCGACTCAGTTAGCCTTAGAGATTTTATAGTCGACTTAGCCATCGATGAGTCGAGACTCTCATTTGGAATTAGTGATCATAATTATTTTAATATTTATTAAAAATTTTTAAAATTTAATTAATATTGTAAAAAGTAGATAATTATAAGTTTTATTGTAAATAATGTTGACAAGAATCTCATTTGACTAAAAGTTTGAAGTTTTATTTAATTAAAATTTCACAATATTCTAAACTTATATCAAATTTGGAACAGTGTTTCAGTTATAGCTTAGTTATTGAAAATTCTAAAGTTGACTTGACTTGATTTTTTCAGAGTCAAATCAACTGTTGATTATGACTCTAATAGCTGGTATTACTATCTTTAACTATTTAAAAATCTATAGTGAAATAATTAATAGAAATTTTAGATAAGTAAATAGTTATCATTAAATAGAAATAATGATTTTTTTTATAAATAAACAATAAAAAATTATAAAGATATATTTATTATTTAAATATTCATTTAAACCTTTTAACATTAATTATAAATTAAATAGTATACAGTATATATATATTAACAGAAACTATTTGCAATTTTGAATTCTATTAATTGTAAAGAAATAATTATGCAAATTACCAATTATACAAAAATTCTAATAACACAAAAAGAGTTTATTACAGTTGAAATAAAATTATGTAAAACTTATTATAATAAATTTATTATAAATAGAACTCATAATTTTGAATACAATGAAACCTGTTCTTATTCAAATAAAAGTTCTAATAAAAAATAAAAAAACTTAATCTTGAGAAAATTCCTAAAAGATTAATTTTAGTTTTACAATTAAATGAAAATAATAAAATTTGTAGTATATATAGAAAGAGAACAAATAAAGATCCTGATTATAATACTACTGAAAATTATAGTAAACCAATTTCTAAAAAAAAAGATGATAATAATATAATGAAAATAATGCAAATTGAAACTCATACTTATGTATTAAAAAATGATATTTTCTATAATTAAACTGAATTTAAACAATTAGAATCAGATTATTAAGAAATAATTTCATAAATAACAATTTACATTAAGCTAGTTTAAGTGAAAAAATTAAAAAAAAATGAAAAACATTTGATATAAAAATCTATATCAATTAAATCAAAAACTAATTTATGATCCTATTAAATGTTAGAAATAACAGATACAGATTTGATTAGTTTTTTTGATGAATTATATAAAGAATTAATCCTGATACTAAATCTAAATAAACTAATAATAATAATAAAAAAAAATTGTATCTTTATGTTACTTTTATGAAATTAATTATAACAAATATATAAATTGGATTAAAGTAAATATTGGATCATATAAGTAAATATTAAATTATATTTAAAAACTTCAGGAGTATCTTTATCTTCAATTAATACACTTGTAAATTTAGGATTATCAGTTTTTTAAAGAACAGTAAATCGACAAAAAGCTATAATTTCAGAAGATAATCAGTATACTATAAATGATTTTTGTTTACAAAATATTGAAAATATATTAATACTTAATATTGATGATTATCAAAATATTTATTGATGAAATTAACCAATTTTATTAAATACACAACATTATTTATTTTGTAACAAATTATTAAATTCAAATTTTAATATTTTAAAAATACCTTATTATTCATCAAATAATATTCCAATTTATAATCCTAAAGGTACTGATTTTAAATTATATTAATATTAGTTTTATGAATAAATAAGGCAAAAGTTATTATTAAAGAAATGAAAAATGATAACAATATTTATTTAATAATTCTTATGAAATAAAATGGAATTTCTTACTGTTCATAATTATGATAATCATATTCAAAGTCAACAAAAATTAAGATTAATGAAAAATACTAAATTAGTAGATTTATTTTACATCCATTATATAATATAAAAGATTATATAGAATTTGCAAATATTGTATTTAATATATTTAATATATTTGAAAAAATAGGAAAGCAAGATTATTTAAATAATTTTATAATTACTACAATGTATATTTGATTTGATCAAGTATATTTAAGAAGAGCTATTACATTAAAACTTAAAAAGCAAGATAATTCTGGAATTTCATCACAAATTTTAAGTTTAATTCCTATGATTAAACCATTTCATATTTTTTTAAATAGTAAAGAAACATTATTTAAATTATTTAAATATATATATCATTTCTTTTTTGAAATATTATACCATAATTTATTTGGAGAAAATAAAATTTTAACATAAAAACCAAAGACTAGACTCATTAATCTTATATTAAATTTAACTTTTTATAGAAGAAAAATATTTGTAGTTTAGTTATTAATTGTTTTAGATATAGAATATTTAATAATGATAGATTTATTAGATAATTCTATATTACTTACATTAGATATATATGTTAAACTTTTTAGATGTGGATTTTTTGAAGAATATTTAGAAAGCATTGTAAAAATTTGGGTATTGTTTCAAAAATTTCAAAGATATAATTATAATAAAGCATCACTTATATTTTTAAATGATGTATTTATTGAACATTAAATAAGCATCTAATGCTTGATATTTTAAAAAATAATTTACCAATATTTAATAATTATTTTGTTGAAAATTTCAATAGCTTTTTTTGATATCAAACTATTAAATCAAATTCAGAAAATCAAATAATTCAAAAGCAAAAATTATGTTAATTCAAAAAATTCTAATATTTCAAAAGCTAAATTAATATCATTAGAAATAAAAGTTTCATTATTTTTATTATCTCTTTTTGATAAAATTTTTCATAATTTAGGAAAAACTAAAAATTAGAATAATAGAACTTTTGAACTTCCAAGTTTTAATGATAAAATTATAGAAATTATAGATATAAAGGTTCTTCCTTTAGCTTGGAGTATTTCAAAATTGCCTTCTGATGATTAATTATGTAATGTAAAAGATTGCTTATTATTAAATAATTTAGATTCATCAAATATAATTGTTTTAATATGTGGTCATAGCTATCATAAAGGATGTTTAAGTTTTCTTAATGAAAAATGTAAACATTGTTTTAATTATTCATCAAAAAGCATTAAGAATAACATCAATAGCTAAAATAAGAGATTGTCTAACCACTAAAAAATGATGAATATCTGAAATTAAAAATAATGAAAATGATTTAAAAATAGATAAAAATGAAAATGTTGAAACTCTTTAAGAACAAGTTGAACAAGTTGAGTATAATATAAATAATCAGTATGAAATTCAAACTCAGATATAGCAAAACTATAATAATATCTAATAGAAATATTGAATTTTATCATTAATTTTAATAAAAATTAAAAAAGCTTGTGTTAACACCTTTTTAAATGTTTATTGTAAAAAGTTGCGTAATGTGAATGTTACCCAATAATGACTAAAATAACATAAATTTAAGTATAACATATTAGAAATTTTACTTAATTTTGACACCTTTTTTATTTAATTGCTCAATGTTACTTTTAGTAAATTTGCCCAATAATGATTCAAAGTCGATAAAAATTTATATTTTATGTAATCATATTAAAGTAAAGTTTACATTTAACGGCATTTTATATGTGATAAAATGAGAAAATGATCGGCAAATGATCAACAAATGTGATAATTACTACTTTCTTCACTTTTTTTTTTGCCTGAGATATATTAACATTAATTTCAGCTTTAGCCTCGGCCTCAGACTCTGATTCAGAAGAAGAACTTTTAGAGCTAGAAGAGCTATCCTCAGACTCCGATGAAGAAGTATCACTATCAGAAGAATCCGAATCTGATTGTTCGTTTACTCTAGCTATATTGAAGTATGTTCTGTCGATCATAGGCGAATGTCGATCATTTCAATGCCGTTAGCTGCGTCACATTAGTGTAACATACAAAACTATGTCCACTGTTCCACTAGCAGATTTAACTATCACAAAATTTGTTTCATAAACAAAAAAAAACAAAAAAAAATAAATACTCCATTTAACTTCGAACTACTGAAAGTTAATATGGCAGATTATAATTGTATTTCATTTCATCTTTTTTTTATTCTAATTTTCTATTCTTTCCTTAGAGTTGAATCATTTATTCCTCTAGGACGTGTATCCCATTCCTCTATTCTTGTAGAAAATAAACTTTATTTTTTTGGTGGTGATATTGGATTAGATATTAATATTGATTCAAACGAAGTGTTCTATCTTGATGTATCTCAACAATTTGATGCGGAGTTTCCGACATGGACAGACCTTACAATTAATTCAGGAATAGGATTTAAAAGTGCTTTTGCAGCTATTGCATTAAATAATGATAATCATATTTACCTAATTGGGGGAACGATGCAAAATCAAAATAATGAAGATTCTTTTACCTCTCTGGTGCATAAATTTAATCCAAAATCGGGGCAATGGGAAGTACCCATTATTGCGGGAAAAGAACCAGCAAGACGAAGGTTCATAAAAGCTGTTGCCGATAATTTTGGAAATATTTATGTTTTTGGTGGATTGGCAGATAAATTCGTAGGTTCAAATGTTGTTCAATATTTTAACGATATGATAATATTAAATACCATTGATTTAACCTGGTCATATGGACCCGTTGCCAATGCTCCTTTAAAACGAGTCCTCTATACCGCAACAATATTACCAGGTGGTGAAATTTTATATATTGGAGGTGTTGAAGATAGTGACAATGCTTTGAATGTAGTAGATATTAATCAAATTTACATTTTTCATACTAAAAATAATGTATGGTCAGTAATGGTAAGCACATAATTGTAATTATTATTTTGTTTTAATGAATATTAATTGAAATAATTTTATTAAGCAAGCAAAAAATAATGGTCAAATTGAAATTGAATCCCGCTTTTATCATTCAGCAATATTAGGTAATTGTCTTTAATTTATACATTCGTTTTGATTATTGTATAATATATTTAATATACTATATTAATTCGCAGTTCCTGATGGACGAATTATTATCTTTGGTGGAGTAAAACCTAATCCAGATTTTAAAAAAGCTACAAAAGTTACTCCAGATTTGGCTGCTTTAAATACTCAAACAAATCCATTTGAATGGAATGTACCACAAGTAGCTTCAAATGTTGGCAAAATTCCATCACTTGCATCGCATACTGCAAATTTTGTTGAAAATTATATGATTTTAACTTTTGGTATATAATTTTCACGTTAATTTCTATTTAACTCTCAAAAAATTTTATATAACAAGTAAACGAATTTATTGATTATAGGAAATGTTCTTCAGCCAAATTATTATCCGAAATATTTCAATAGAAAAATTTATTTATTAGATGTTAGAATCTATGTTTGGGTTGATAGACTTGAACCTGAAAGTAAACCTACACCTTCAAATACGTCATCACCAATTCCTTCTTCAACAACAACTGTGATTATTCGTGATAATGATAGTAAATTAACAACAATGAAAATTGTAATTGGTATAATAAGTGGAATTTTAAGTACCGCAATTTTAATGGTAATTGGATTTTTTGGTTATAAATGGTACCAAAAAAGAAACCAAAATAACATCATGAGAATTTCTGGTAATATTTAGTGCAATAATTTAATTACATTTTTAGATAGCATTATTGACAATAAATATAAAGTTTACTGCGCCGCAAAATTATTTATTGAACTTAATAAGCTAATTTTTTCATTAGTATAATTTTTATAACCCCCTATTTTTTAGATATTCAAATCAAAGATGATATCCTCGTAAATTGGTATGATTATACTATACTATAACAATAACGTGAGCTAAATTTTAACCGGTGTTAACCCTGGGATTGTACCGAAACCAAGGTAACGAACGATATATGCTATGTAATATGATATTCCGGAGTCCCTTTTATCCTGGAATATACCACCAATAACTTTATTTTACGATTTAATTGTGTAGGTTGGTTATCACAAGCGGAGCCTATGTGGAGACAAGAGGAAGGTTTGAATGTGTAAAAAGTATTTTATTATTTGGAAGTCCGTAAGTCTATCACCAAAGCTTTACAACGATCGGACTATATTCCTCATTTTGTAATTAATTTTTCCAGCATATATATACTAAATTTAAACTACGCATTTTCATAGTAATGAATAATACAAATAATATAAATGATAAATATAAAATAAACTAAATAAAATAAAGAAATATAAGAAATTATCTAAAACTCCGAAATGTTACATATTTGACATGTATGCTATGTATGCTATTCATGCTATTCACTACATTTGCCGCAGTACGCAGTCTTTGATCGTCAAACATTTTCAAGACTAACACCGGTTAATGTTAAAGAATGGATAGTATAATACACAACACATGTAAATATTAATTAAATGATATTCGGGCAGTTAACCTATTTTAAAAATTTAATTTTATTAACATTCTGAAATGATGATAATCATTGATTTTGAAATAAATAAATTCAATTCAGTATCAACTAATTAATAATTCAATGTCAAAATAGAAAACGAATCCGAATAGCCACTTTCGAAATCTACAAAGAAAATTTTCTGTCGTCAAACTTCCAAAAAAGGGTTACGAAATATGTAACATAAAATGCTACACTAGGTTGAAGCCTTGGCGCAGTAATCAACATAAAGGATCGGCGACATGCATGATCTTGCATATGGGCTTAATACAACGTGACATTTTGTGATCATTATATGATTAATTTTGGACACTGTTACGGAATGAGCTGCGCCCACATAATGTAACAAATAAAAATGTATAACGTAATACCACACAAATTAACAAAAAAAAAAGTTTTTCATTCAAACTAAAAAATTAACATGATTTTTTATAATCATATTTCATTTAATTTATTTTTTATTCTAATTATCCATTCCTTCCTTAGAGTTGAATCATTCACTCCTCTGGGACGTGTATCCCATTCCTCGATACTTTTAGAAAACAAACTTTATTTTTTTGGTGGAAATATTGGAAAAGAGAATGATATTCAGACAAACGATTTATTTTTTTCTTGACGTTTCTCAAGGGTTTAATGTGGAGCTGCCGTTATGGTCCGACCTTCCAATTAATTCAAAAATAGGATTTAAAAGTGCTAATGCAGCTATTATATTAAATAATAATAATAATATTTATTTAATTGGAGGAATAATGCGAAATCAAAATAATGAAGAGTATTTTACCTCACTGGTACATATATTCAATCCAAAATCAGGTCAATGGGAAATACCTTCTATTACTGGAAAAGAACCAGCGAGACGAAGATTCATACAAGCTGTTGCCGATAATTTTGGAAATATTTATGTTTTTGGTGGACTTGCCGATAAATACGTAGGAAATGAACTTAATCAATATTTTAATGATATGATAATTTTTAATAATAATGGTTTGACGTGGTCTGATAACCTCATTGGAAATGCTCCTTCAAATCGAGCCATTTATACTGCAACAATATTACCAAACGGTGAAATTATATATATTGGAGGGCTTGATGGGACTGCGAACACAGTAGATATTAATCAAATACACATTTATTATACAAAACAAAATACTTGGTCAGTAATGGTTAGTAGTTACTATATTTTTTTGTTTGGAAGAAAAGGAATTAAATTTAATAATAAATTAAACTTATAAAGCAAGCACAAAATAATGGTCAAATTGAGATCGAGTCCCGCTATTTTCATTCAGCAATATTAGGTACTAAATAAATTATTCACAATCTTTTTTTTGATTATTTGCTAATGTATTATATTAATTTATTAAGTTCCTGATGGGAGAATTATCATTTATGGTGGGGTAAAACCAAATCCAGATACTATAAAGGCTACAAAAGTTGCACCAGATTTGGCTGTTTTAAATACCCAAACAAATCCATTTGAATGGACTGTGCCACAAGTATCATCAAATAATGGTAAAATTCCATCACTTGCATCGCATACTGCAAATTTTGTTGAAAATTATATGATTATAACCTTTGGTAATCATTACTATACTTTAATTACTATTGCACCTCAAAGTTTCTTATTTTATCGTTATTAACAAGTAAACTTAATTCTTGAATTATAGGAACTATACTTCAGCCAACTTTTTGGCCAAAGGTTTTAAATACCAAAATTTATTTATTAGATGTCAGAAACTATGTTTGGGTTGTTAGAATTGAACCTGAAAGTAAATCTACACCTTCAAATATAACTTCAACGATTCCTTCTTCAACTCCTACGACTTCTGTGATAATTAGTGATAATGATAGTACTGATAGTACAATGAAAATTGTAATCGGTACAATAAGTGGAATTGTCGGTACTGCAATATTTATAGCAACTGGAATTATTGGTTATAAATGGTACCAGAAAAGAATCCAAGATAATAATATCATGAGAATTTCTGGTAATATATGACAAAATAATTCATTTCATTTTTTTATATTACGATAGTATTACAAAACTATATATAAAATTATCAACTTTAATAAATATAAACTTATTCTGTGCCACAAAAATCTTTATTGAACGTAACGGTAACAAAATTTGGTTATAAGCCTAATTCTATAAATTATTCGTGTAACCAGTTAAGGATTCGCTAAACCTATGTGAAATAATTAAATTTTATGAATTTTCTATTATGATTATGACAGACATGAAATCTTCAACTCCTAACCTAATGCTCAACCAGTTAATCGGTCATAACAAGAAATTGTCGTTTAAATGATATATAAATTTCATTCTTACAACATAAACAGAATAATATTTTAATTAAGAAAGAAAAGAAAGAGCAGAAATAAAAATTAAATTTATGGTAATAATTTTAATTCTGTACGACAAGAATTATTAAATAACTTTTATACTGAAGAGAATTGAAGAATTGAAATATAATTTAAGTATATACGGATCAATCGGTCGTTATACCCTTTTTAGTCGACTCAAGCCGACTGAGTCGCGACTCTCAAATTGAAATTAGCAAGTGTGTTATTAATATCTTGATAGTTAACAAAGAATATTTTAAATAAAATAAGTATATAATAATTAGTTTCATCAGATAAGGTCGTATGAATCCCAATAAGCTAAAAAGTCGAACTTTTATTTAATGAATTTCGCGATGTTCTTACAATATAATTCATTTGAAAATCCTGGAATGGATTTTTACAGAGTCAACTCAGACCCCAACGGCTAGTACTAAATAACTCTAGCGTCGCCATGAAAACATGGTAGCCGGATTTATATTGCTGTTTCAAATACATTATTAGATAGTGAAAAAGAATAGACAATTAGTATATTTCTTTTCCCCAGAATAATTTAAGAATAGTCGGTATGTGATGCCGCGTAAAAAAACCTAACTCTAATCTCCTAACCATATTCCTAATACTAAAGCACGTACTAAAATCTAACGCTAACTCTAATCCTAAACTAACCGACAAATAAATCCGGCTACGTTTTTTCATGGCGACGCTATGGCATTACTTGGTATCACGTGATAATTAACTTACTTTAAAATAGACGCGGGTCGGGTAGACTTGTACTTATGAAAACAAACTATAGGCTCAATTCAATGCAATGGTCTATTCTTTTTCAATTTAAATAAAAACATTGAAGTTTTCAAAATATTGTCTCATTTATTTCATTGTAGAAAAATAATAATTGGTTACTTTCATTATCTTGATGCAATAAATATTTATGCAAGTATTTGGTTTTGTATTTAATGATCGTAATTGTTTATGCGCTACATTTGACTTTGTAACTTATGCATCAGATTGATAATAAATTCGCGATATTCGAATTGAACATGAATTTCTCATTCTTTTTGTTATAAAAATAAAGTTTCATGATCATTTTTTAATAATCTTAAAATGTTTGAACATACATAACGAGCGAGCAAATTAATGATTACATAAGTACTTTGTTTTATTTTTAAGATTGTAATCTATTAATACCGTGCTTAATTAATTTATTGTATGATACTAAATATCGTTAAGATGGGTTTGTACGAAATCCCGAAGATCAAAATCCTGAAGGGTCATAATCTCGAAGGCATAATCCCGAAAGATCATAATCCCGAACGATCATAATCCAAATGGCCATAATCCCGAATAACATAATTTTAAAATTATAATATAATAGTTTGATATTAATGATTTTTAACCTTTCTTTCGATGAGATAAAAAACAGTTATTTCATGGATTCCCGTGAAATAACTATTTAGCAATTTTCATGGTCGGCAAAAAAAATCGTTTAAAAAGTATTCAAGATATAGATTTTTTGCTAAATTTTAAAAAGAAAAAATTTAAAAATCTAAATAAACGTCGTGAATCTCGTGATAGAACTCTTTAAAATATACTTAATATTTTTAATATTTAATAAAGTTATATTCGGGATTAGGGATTATGGTCATTCGGGATTATGATCTTTCGGGATTATGCCTTCGAGATTATGACCCTTCAGGATTTTGATCTTCGGGATTTTGAACGGCTCCCCGTTAAGATAACTTGAATTCAGGATATTAGATTTTATTAATATCTGCGATTACATTTATATATTATTTTTATTTGATTAGAACTGTCGCTTTTATAATAACGTTGTTTTAGGGTATATGAGATTCTTTTGGGTTCTAGTGAGTCAGACTCAGGAATTCTAAAAGCCTTTGAACTGATCTAAGAATTATGCAGTAAATTTTTGCTGCACTGGAGTTTTCTAAATATATTGGACTTGTTGATATTTTTTATTTGCATACAAAATATGAAGATGAATTATTATATTTTAAAAGTAATTAAATTACTATTACTTATTTTTAAACGGACGGTAGTATATAAATAAAATAATACATGTATGAAATAGCATGATAAACTGAAATTCGCTCATTTTATTGTGCATAATTAATTTACTTGATAATTGATAATCTCAAACCATACCCCGTCTGGATATGAATAGTTTGATAATTAGCATTTCTTTGGTAATGTTTTGATTAAATGCATTTACTTCAGATAACAAAAAAAAATACGGTAGAATTTGAAGAATCTATGATTATAGAAAAATTTGGTTTTCTAACACTAAGTTAAACGTTCCACTAATCGTATCTTTTCCAAATTTAGTTAAACCGTTAATTCCATACATTTAATAGGCACCAATTACATTTTGTTCTTCCATTTTTTTTTTTTCCACAAAAATGTCTAAACAATTTTTTTCGAAATTAAGTCAGAATTATATTGAAATCTTAGATAATGATGATGAATATTATGACGTCAAATTTGAAGTTGGAGACAATATTAGTATAACAAGTTTTAATGCACATGCTAATATTTTGAGTTATCGTTCTCCATATTTCAAACGAAATTTACCTAAAAAAAAAGATGGCATATGTCGTATGAAATTTTCAAATATTTTGCCGCAACATTTTCAAATTATTTTAAAGTAAGTTATAAAGTGAGACTTTACATTTTATTTTATAATTGATTTTATTAGCATCATTATTTAAAAAGGAAAGGATTTTAAATTTTTTTAAAAAACTTTTTCATTCATCAAGATATATTTATGGTGGATTCATTTCATTAAATGGTTACAATAACATTTCGGAAATTATTAAAATATTACTTGTGGCAGATGAGTTTCATTTACAAGAATTAGTAGATTTTTTACAAAAGTATTTAATTGAGGAAAAGTCCGAATGGATTGATCAAAACTTTGACTTGGTTCACAGTACAAGTTTAAAATCGATTTGTTTTATGGAATTGCAAAAATATTGCATAGATTTAATGTCATCTTATCCAGATAAAATATTTAAATCATTAGATTTTACTTCCCTTGAAGAAAAGTCATTATTACCATTGTTAAAAAAAAATGATTTGCAAATGGAAGAGATCGATATTTGGTCATCCGTATTGAAATGGGGACTCAAGAGAAATCCTACGTTAATGCCGGATCCATCAAATTGGACGGACGATGAATTCAGATTAATGGAAACCACTTTGAATAACGTTTTGCCTCATATTAGATTTTTTAGTTTATCTTCAAAGGAATTTTTAGAAAGTGTTCATCCTTATAAAAAATTACTTAAGCCGAAGAATTATGAAGATTTATTAAAATACTTTTTAGATCCTGATAGCAATCCTCCTACAAATAATTATCTGACTCCTAGATATTATGGAAAATTTGATACGAAAATAATTAATATTGATATAGTTTCATTAATTTCAAAATGGATTGATAACGGGAAACATGAAAAAAAAATTTCCGTTAGAGAAAAGTTATATTTACCTTATGAATTCAACTTATTATTACGAGGAAGTAGAGATGGATTTACTCCTAAAAAATTTCATGAGCTATGTGATGGTAAAGAAAATACCGTCTCTTTTATAAAAATTGAAGGAACCAATGAAATTTATGGTGGATTTAGTCCTTTAAAATGGACATCAAATGGTGGTTGGCTCAGCACCGAAAAGAGTTTTATTTTTTCTTTTAAAAGTAAAAACTTTGGCATAAAAGATGCCATTTTAAGTAAAGTAAAGGAAAAAGAATATGCAATTAGATCAACTGGTTTCGATGGTCCAGGATTTGGTGAAGACCTCAAGATTTATGGTAATCCAGAAAAAAATTTTCAAAATGTATTCTGTCAAAAACGTCGTCATTATGAAAAAGAGATAAGAGATACTGAAGATAAATTTTCTATGGAAGATTATGAAGTATTTCAAATTAAAAAAAATAATAATAATTAGTAATTAGAAATAACTTAACGAGGGAGAAGGAAGGTGAAGCGATTTAGAGGAAAATTCTTTTTCGTCAATGAATATTTTCAGAAATATTTAGAAGTCGTTAACAAATAACCAACGTAAATCTCGAAACGTTAAATAAAAATTTCAATCGTTAAATTCTGCGTTAACTCGTTTAGAATTTCATTTCTTTTACAATAGTTAAAATTGTTATTTTTGAGTTTTGGCTTCATGGTTTTATACTTTCAAATAGTAGTTCTCTTTTTTTCAAACCATCACTGATTCGTTTACCGCAAGATTATTATTATTTGTATAAATAAATTTTATGAGCAATTATATGATTATAAAAATAAATTTGATTCACGAAATTTAATTGAAGCCAATGAATAAGCGTAATACTTATATAACAGTGGTTTGTTTTCCTATAATAGTTATTAGTAGATAAAAATTGATTAAACGGCTTTCAAATAGCAATTTTAAATAGTTTCATGATTATTATAAAATCTTTGGCGCTTAAAATACATACTTGAACTAATTACAGTACGACCGAAATTGTATAAACACCCGCGTTGCATTGAGGAAATATTTTTTTGTATACTTTGCAATTATATTATACTCTACTTTTGTATCCTTGTATATATGCTAACTAGGAATTTTTTAGATCAAAATTGATAAAAGCAAGGTCATATTGGTGGTATGCTATTAAAATTGAGGTACGAGACATAGTAAGATCTGTACCTCAATTTTAATAGCACATAACGTATCGTATAGCTTATTTTTACTATATATATAACAACTATACACCTCAAAATTTTTTATTATTTTATATTTATAACAACTCTACGCCTCGAAATTTTTTTAATTTTCATCACGACATCATGATTTATTGTCTTGTCCTTGGTGAATCCTCCTAGTGTACCAAGTATAAGAAATTTGATAGATTCTCGCGAATTAGGGAAGTTGTTTGGAAAAAGAAAACGGCATTCGTTTGATGAAAGAAAACTCAAGCAATGGCAAATTAATAATTCTATCGAAGAGAGCGAAAAAAATGAAAAAACTAAAACCAAATCGGGAAAGAACAAATCGAGGGTAATGAACTATTTACAAATAACGAATCTTGCAGAATATCCAGATCATTATACAAACCGTCCAAATAATCTCTCCTATCAAATTATTTTAGACACTAGTTCATATGGTCGTTCAACAACATTTATATCAATCGCTTAAACAGCGATCTAAAGACAACATATCATTTTGATCAAGAATAGGAAATTGCGAGCATTTGATATATAAATTCATCTAAAATTATAAATACTAGGAATACGAAATCCTTCGCAAGTTATTAAGATCAAAAACCGCTATATGCATGTGAATATATTCAATACTTTACCTTTTTCATCATTTTCATCAAACTTTACTTATTTCCACCGTAATGACGGATACCCTAATGGTCAAAGAAATGGATACTTTTATAATATCTAAAGCGAATAGCTGCCACAAACATATGTCATTTTGCAGAATGATTTCATCATCAAATTGTTTCACAAATTCACAGTTAAATCTCTGAGATTGACCTTTTTTTTCATTAGTAAATCAAAATAATATAATAATAATTACTTATTTGGGACACAATCCTGTAAGGCCGGACAAACTCGATGTTTCGGTTCTCGTAACATCAGAATTATAAAATGACCCGGTGACCCGCCTTTTATTTTTATAGCATGTTAAAATTTTTATATGTTAATGCGATATGATTGCCGAATACAACAAACTTGATTTTACAGTTTGAAAAAAGTAAACTCATTAATAATCATACTTTTGTGTTTCATATTACCCGACCCATCCTTTTTTTTTTGACTTTAATTACTTTTTTTTCACACTATTTTCAATCAAAATGCCATTATTCATCTAATCATAAAAATAAGTCATAAAATTCCATTTTATTCCATTTTATTTGATGAAGGAACTCACTCCTGTAGATGATGTAACAATAGAAAATGATTTTACAATATTTGCCATTGATAACACTTGAACCGGAGTTGTGGGATTATGATTTTGAAGTATATATTCGGGAAAACAAAATTTAGTAATAAAGAAAAAGGTGGTGTGGTGTGGTGAAAATACTAATAAGAAAAAGCGTAATAAAACATTATTTGGTCCAAATAGTCGAAAAAAGCAAATGTATGAAAAAATCATATCATTCATTCAATAATAATTTAACCTTTAATAATTAGTTCCAAACACATTACTAGTTTTTTTAGCATGAATTTTAACATGGATTAATTATGCTATTATCCATTTTTAATTATTTGATCACGTG